CTGTCCCCCCGTCCCCTGGACTCGCCTTCGCCGCCATCGCCACTCAATGGCCCTCGGCTCCGGCTCCCGTGCGCGCGCGGCCCCGCTCGCGCCCAAGGTGACACCGAGCGCGCAACAGGGCGAGGGCGCGCGCGCACACCCCTCAACTCTCAGGTCCAGCGCCAGCTGGCGCCGGCGCAGGCGCGCAGCGCAAAGGCAGCCGGGAGTCGGGCGGAGCTGAAGACCGGCTTGAAGGGTGCGTGCGAGAAGGGGTGTGGCTAACCTAGGGCGCCTGAGTACAAGCGCAGTTTTCACCGAATTGGAATCGCGGGAAAAAGAGTTTATTGATCTCGCGAGATCGAGTGAGCCAGACCATTCCAGAAGCGGAATCTCGCGATAGATGTACCAAGATTCCAGGTACGAGGGAAGGAGGTTTTGAAGCGCTCTCGCGAGATTTGGAGCTACAGCGATGGCGACGGTGGACACAGGGAAGAGGAGAGGTTTGTAAACAGAACAACTACAGGATCCGGGGCACTAAAGCGGAGACGACTAGGTCAGCTTCTGATGTATCGGTACTCCTCCCATCCACACAGGCAGTGCCTCTCTCTAACCTTCCTTTTAATCGGCCTTTTAGGACCGGAAGCCCATCGTGAGCCTCCAATTCTGGAAGTGGCCTAACTTTCTTTACCGGAAACCCTTTTCCAGGGTCTAAGAAGACGGCCCACCTGGCCGGAAGTCCCACCTCCTTGAGCTCCCCCTCCCTTCCAGAAGTTTTTCTGTCACCTGTGTTTCCCTCCGTCCTTTTTCCCGTTTTATACCTGTATTAGAAAAGGGTACATTTAGTGCCTCCCTCCTAGCTCCACTAAAGGGGTTGGCTAGGTTCTTTCCCCGGAGCCCCGATGTAGCTGGGAAGTGGGACCTGGGGGTGGTCGGACCCCTGGGATCCTGAAGAAGTGAGGAGGGCGCGCAACTGTGGCTCTACTCCTGCTATCGGGACGCAGCCTCCTCTGCCTCTCCCCTTCTCGCTGCCATGCACCCTGCGGCCTTCCCGCTTCCTGTGGTTGTGGCCACTGTACTGTGGGGAGCGGCCCCCATCCAAGGGCTCATTCGAGCGGTGAGTCTGAGTGGCGGGGTGGGGAGGAAGGGCGCTGAAGGAAGGGGCTGCAGCAGAAGGGGAACATGGACTCTTTTTGTCCACAGACCTCAGACCACAATACCACCATGGACTTTGCAGACCTCCCAGCTCTATTTGGGGCCACCCTGAGCCAGGAGGGACTCCAGGTGATTTTTCTCCCCTTTTCGTTTTCGCAAATCCTTTATCCTGGGCAGAGGTGGAGGAGTCTTGTCCTGGGTAAAGTTGACAGTAGGAAACTAATCAGGTTAGAAACTAAGAGCACGAGCATGTCTAATGTGGAATCCAGAATTTGGAGGGAAAAAATAAAAAAGTGTCCGCCCTTGGAACGCCAGGCTTATGAGAGAGGCTGAAAGTGGACCAAGATAAAAAGGCAGAATGAAGTGGTGCTTATCAGTAGGGTCTTTGGAGCCAGTTATTGTTTATATAACCATAATTATGCCTCTGAACCTTGGTTCGTTGTACTATAAGAAGGGAAAATAGAAGTTATCATGGGGAGGGGGGTCCTGGCAGGTGATGTGGTGGTTAAGGCACTAGACTCCCACGTGGCTGACCATGGTTTGAGTCCTGGACCTGGTGGCTTGCTTTCTCACTTTCCCTCTCTCTCTCCCTCTGTCTCTTTGGCCAAATTAAAATAATAATAATAATAACAAATAAAATTAAATAATTTTTAAAAAGAAGTTATTGGGTTATTGTAAGGATCAAATTCAGTAAGCGATTTTGTAGTGTCTCATGACCAAGGCTGCTCATTTGGGCCCTAGATACTAGTAGAGTTGTTTGTGAGGTGGATGATTGGGAAGCTGAAGGGAGAGGAGTGTACACACTTAACAGGAGTATGTGCTGGAGGACAATGTAAAACAACTTGAGGAAAAGTGACCTGGGTGGGTTGGAGATTTGGATTATAATCAGAGGGGAACTGGAAGACAGAAGGATTGAATTAGCTTGGAATAAGGGGTACAGGTTAGCCCATCTGGGAGGAGAAGGGTGATGGGTGGATGTGATAAAGGAATATGCTTTGATGTAATTACATCTTCAAGAGGGTAAGAGAAGATGTAGACTTCTCGGTTAGGTGGGATTCTCAAACCCCAGGGACGAGAAAGAAGTGAGGATAGAGAACATGCAGCAAGTGGGGCCAGTGTGTTCAGTGGGCCTGTGGGGAGCAGGATTTAGGAGGAAGAAATCTAGCTGCTGTTTGCTTCTCTTCCTAGGGGTTCCTTGTGGAGGCTCACCCAGACAACGCCTGCAGCCCCATTGCCCCACCACCCCCAGCCCCGGTCAATGGGTCAGTCTTTATTGCACTGCTTCGAAGATTCGACTGCAACTTTGACCTCAAGGTTGCCAATATGGAGTGGGAGCTGGGAAGCTGAGGGTAAAAAAAGGCACCAGGAAGGGAGAGAACAAGATCTATGATGGCTCCTTATCCCTGCAGTCTTTGTCTCCCTAGGTCTTAAACGCTCAGAAGGCTGGGTATGGTGCAGCTGTGGTACACAATGTGAATTCCAATGAACTTCTGAACATGGTGTGGAACAGTGGTAAGGATGGGGGATCAGGACAGCTGGGTTTTCCGTAGAGCTCAGACTGAGATAGTCGGGGGGCCAAATAAAGGCTTAGGGAAAAAAGAAGCCAATCCTTTGTGTGGGATGGGGCAGAAGTGCCAAATGCCAGGGTCCTCAAAGCTTTTGAGTGGAAGGCCAAGTCCCTTGTTTAACACCCTGCTCCCTGCAGAGGAAATCCAGCAGCAGATTTGGATCCCATCTGTGTTCATTGGGGAGAGGAGCTCTGAGTACCTGCGTGCCCTCTTCGTCTATGAGAAAGGGTAGGACCTGTGCCTCCTTCCTAGCTCTTCCTTTAGCAGTTCCATGCCAACCTAGGGCCCAAGCCTCACGCCTCCAACCAACTGTTCAGCCTCAGGTCGTCCGTACTCATGACTTCCTATTCCCCGACCCATGGAGTGTCCAGAGCCGGTTATTTTGTTCCTTTCCGTCTCCTTGCTTTTTCCTACCTGTCTGAAACTGGTCTTCCCACCCCCTCCCCAGGGCTCAGGTGCTTCTGGTTCCAGACAATAGCTTCCCCTTGGGCTATTACCTCATCCCCTTCACAGGGATTGTGGGACTGCTGGTTTTGGCCATGGGAGCAGTAATGGTGAGTAGCTCAGGGGACATGATGGGAAGTGCTGGGGGCTATAAACCAGCTGGATCTGGAGTTGGGCGGTGGGGATGGTTTGTACCAGATTGTCCAGTTTTGTTTCCTAATGTGGTCCATGCACTTCTCCTTCCCCCAGATAGTTCGTTGTATCCAGCACCGAAAACGACTCCAGAGGAATCGACTTACCAAAGAGCAACTCAAACAGATTCCTACACATGACTATCAGAAGGGTGAGGGGGAAAAGGGAGAGGAGGAATTTTGCCATAGCTTACCTGGTTCTGATGGTATTTGTCAAGAGATAAGGCGTAAAGAGGAAGTGTCGGATGGGACCAGCAGGTGGCATGGTGGTTGAGATACTGGACCGTCTCACATGGGTGGTGACCACAGTTCAAGTCCCGGACCTGGTGGCTTGCTTTCTCACCCCCCCGCCCCATCTCTCTCTCTCTCTCCGGTCAAATTAAAACAAATGAAAAAAATATATATATTAACTTCTCCATTCTTCTCTTGGGATTTCGGGCATGTACCTGTGCCTGGTGTTTTTTTCAAGCTGTTGGATCTGGGACTTGAATTAAGTAGTTGGCCACATGGAACCTTAATCACCACACCTGGCTGGCTCCTTTTCTTTTTACCCACAAATATGTGCATAAGCAAGAAAAGTGGGAGATGGAAAACAAAGATGATCAAGTGAAGTTGTTGGGGATAATAGCGGAGAGACAGACATGTTAGAAAGGGAGGTAGAGAACGGAAAAATGGAAGGAGTGGGGACAGTTTCAAACAGAAGAAACAAGTAAGGAGGGGCTGTCTTTAGGCTCTGGAGCCTCTATCCATATAAGGATATAGCAGAAGCCCTGCCCCCCCATTTCCGCTCCTCCCACTCTATCTACACCCTCATACCTCCTCCCCCAAAACCCACTTCCCTTGTTACCTCTGTTTTTGTGCCTGTCCCCCTCTAGCAGCTCAGTGTTCTGCCCTGGGCCTTTCCTGCCTTACCCAGTCCTCTCTTCCGCTGGCTCTATGGAGCCCAGGAAAGTGAACATTGCCAGGTGCCTTGGTTCAGGGTGACTCAGTGAAGAGATTACTATCTCTCATAGGAGACCAGTATGATGTCTGTGCCATTTGCCTGGATGAATATGAAGATGGAGACAAGCTGCGGGTACTCCCCTGCACTCATGGTGAGGACTCCACTGCCTGCCTGTGCCCACTCCAAAAGGAACCAGGCATCTCACCTCACTTTTCTCCCCAGCCTATCACTGCCGCTGTGTGGACCCCTGGCTCACTCAGACCCGGAAGACCTGCCCCATCTGCAAGCAGCCTGTTCATCGGAGTCCTGGCGACGAGGAACAGGAGGAAGAGATGCAGGGCCAAGAGGAGGGTGATGAAGGAGAACCACGGGACCACCCTGCCTCAGAACGGACCCCTCTCTTGGGCTCTAGCCCCTCTCTTCCCACGTCCTTTGGTTCCCTAGCCCCAGCCCCCCTTGTTTTTCCTGGGCCCTCAACAGATCCTCCACCCTCTTCTCCTTCCTCCTCCTCTTCCTCACCTGCCCTTCTGGTCTGATAGTCCCCTTCAGTGACTTACCTGCACAGGCCCTCTCCTCCCTCTTTCTGAGCTTAAGGATGAGGGACATTTCTGCCCCAAATTTCTCCCTTATCTAAGCCTCACCCTTTGGATGGAAATGGGTGGGGTGGATTAGAGGAAAAGGACTGGGTCATTACTTCTTGGGTTAATAAAATTGTTTTTGTGGATTAAGAAGGGTGAGCTCAATTCCATACAGGTAAACTTATCTTTTGGAGAATCCCCCTTTCGCCTTAAAGGGGCAGGGGAACACTGGGATACTAACCTGTAGTCATGGGGACAGCTCCAGCATGCATCTGCTGTGACTCAGAGGGGGAGCCCCACCCACACATGGGGGATGACTCAACTGGCCCTGCCTTGCCCACAGGCCTGGACGGTGTATTCTCTGGTCTGGATGACTCTATTCCCTTATCCACCAATTTGAGTTGCACGCTTAAGGACCAAGGCTAGGAAACGCCAACTGGCCAGGTAGGCCTGAGGCCAAGGCTTAGTCCCGGACACTGAGGTAAGCAGCTCAAGTTCTGCAACTTTTAGTGCCTCAGTCCTCCTCCCAATCCCAGGCCAGGAATAAAGGAGGCAAGACACAGTGCCTATCTCCCGTATGACACCCAAGCGGCAAACCACACAGCACCTTGTTAGTAGAATCTTTTTTTATTCAGAAAAAAAAAAAAAAAAAACCCAAAAAAAAAAAAAGTTTTCCAACCAAACACAGGGGCTA